GTATAAAATTTCGAATTTCCTCGGCCACAAAAATGTACAGTTTATTTAGGTAGGAGAAGTGGCACTGTGGACCTTTAATTGGGCTTCATAATATATATATATATATATATATATATATATATATATATATATATATATATATATATATATATATATATATATATATATATATTGATATTTTAAAACAGGGAATTATTGTAGCTGGTAAAATTGAAATTTATGATTCGAGTTATAAATCTGTTTTATATAATATATAAATATATAAAAAAAATAATTTGAACGCAGTCACAGGGTGAATAAATTAATATTACAATAAATAATATATAATTTATGTATTATTGATTTATTCACCCTGTGACACAGATAGCATATATTCAGATTTGCATATGTTTCTGTAATAATGGGTTATTTGTTATATTTTAAACTGTAAATAAATTAGATATAAAATAATTCAATAAACAAACTTACTGCCATTTAAGGAATGAAGCTTATTTCAACTTATGTTATCCGACATAACATAACTTGGGGCAGTTTACGCTTTATAAACCGCGAAGCGGTTTATAAAAAAGCGTAAACTGCCCCAAGTTTTGTTATATCGGATAACATAAGTTGAAATAAGCTTCATTCCTTATAATTTAATTTCAGTGCAGACAATGAGATATTTTTTCCCCCAGAATAAGGCTTCACATTGATTAAATTTTAAAAGTAACGTCCAGCGGAGTAATGCGTTTTTGACATAGCTCATTGTGACGTAGGCAAGTTATGTTATACAAAATGGATAAAATCTTTTATCCAATCAAATGACGTGTTGCAAGTAAAATTAAATTATAAATAAATAAATAAATATTAATTTAAACTTAAACTCCCTTGATAAGTACATTTACTGAACTTACTTCACACACTGCATGGTAGTACTTATTTTAGATTTAGAGTTGTCTTTTCTTAGTTAGAACTCCTTAGTTCATTCAGGTATTTTTAGGAGAACCAGTTTAGGTCAAGCATAGTCGATTGGCTATTCTTGTTATGCAGAGTTTTTATTGGTAGGTCATTAAGATCAAATTCCTTAGTGAGTTTACCTTTGTTATTTTTAAATTCACTTTGAATCTAGCCATAAGACAGAGTGCTAGCTTATTTGATACACTTACATATAGTTTGATATATATTGTTGACTGGACGTTAACTTTCAGGAAACTTTCTATGAAGTCTTTTCTGCACCTTAAGTGAAATTTTATGTCGATTCGAGAAGAGTTTTTATTGGTAGGTCATTAAGGTCAAATTCCTTAGTGAGTTTTCCTTTGTTATTTTTAAATTCACTTTGAATCAAGCCATAAGACAGAGTGCTAGCTTATTTGATACACTTACATATAGTTTGATATATATTGTTGACTGGACGTTAGACCTGATTACAGTAAGTTCTTTATTTTCCTTTACTAACACTTTGCTTGGTTGAATGAATGAGTATGAATGAAATATAGTATTTGATGAGTTAATGGAAAATGTGTAAAATCATATAGTAAATGGTTTAAATGAATATAAATCTAAAGATCTGTTTTTAAAGTTATAATGTGAAATATGCTTTATGATGAGATCTGACTTTAAGGAATATGTAAATATTGTATATATTATAAGATTTGGTAAATACACAGGGCTCTCGATTCTCTAAATCTGGGGCCGATATTCGGCCCCGTTCCCAAAGCAAAAAAGGTACCTTTTTTCCCAAAAGAAAGGTGTAAATGTCCCAATTTCCATAGCAAAATATGAATTAAAAAATGGTTAATGGACGTGTTTATTCAAAACAAGAGTTAAATTGATGACAAAATGCTAGAAAAGCGAAATTTGAGGATTTTTTAAAATGAATTTTGGTTAACTTTTCCCAAAATGACAATAATTTCCCAATTTGAACGGCCCCAGCCCCAGTCCCAAAAAGTGGTGTGAGAGCCCTGATACAACAATATGTTGTATGATATAGGTCAGATATGGTTTGGACGTGACACCCAGAGTTATTACTCTTGGACAGCCTAGGTCCACAATTTGGTATTTATTGATATAATTGTACTTAGTTTGATATTTGTAAATATTTTTGGTAAATTATATAGATTTACTTGAGTTTATATGCATTTGGAGAAATAAGAGTTATTTCCCTTTGATAATATTCATGAAGCGATAATGAGTAAATTAATAGAAATATCAGTGTAATATAGATTTTATGCTAATGAAATAATTTGTGAGAAAATATATACCTAGTATGTTAATGTTATGAAATATTTATTATGTTTACATGTTTTGTAGGGTTGTAATTCATCTGTATATTAATTGTCAACAATTAAAAGAACCCACATCCCTAACTGAGTTTTCATATCGTTATATTTGGGAAAACCCGGTTACATTTCTCTTTATATAACACTACTGAAAGCAATATATGCGAATCTATAACCGTGTAAATACAGATTCCTCGAAAGTCATAAATGTTTAATGAAATTTTCTTACTTAGGTCATAAAGGGTCAACTTGCATTCTGTGCATTACATACATGCCATTGAAAATATAAGTAACTAGTGCTAATTGTAACGGGAACCGTTACAGATGTTCCCCAAACACTCCCCAACTCCCTTTTGGTGCCATATTCCCTGATCATTAAATAAGACAAACTCTGTGCATTTTTGACTTTATCAACGTTTTCCCAAAAGGATACCAATTATATTTAAATTTTAGCATTGCGCCCAAGCGCATGTGAATCCATGTGCATTATGACCATATCATCTTGTCTACACTATCTATATATTTTAATATACTATATATCAAAGCATTCCGTCCAAAAGTAATAAAAATCACTCATTCAAGTGTATTTTTAATTATACTCGTTCTAAATGCACGCACGTGCGTGCACGTGCATGATGACCATACCTTCTTGTAGGAGTCCCTTACATCGATCTATGTTCTAAATCCCATCCGGTTCGGTAGAAAAACAAGGGAGTTATAGCCATTTCAAGTTTCAGCCAATCAGATTGCAGCACACATGCACGTGCGTGATTTCATGATTTTTTTCTATACGATATTGTAGGTTATCCTAATGCATGAGTATATTTTAAATTTCAAAGAATTTCGTCAAAAAACAAAGGATATATAGCCATTTAAAGTTTCAGCCAATTTTGCGCATGGAAAATTCTTTTATATCATGCTGTAGATCTTCTAATGTAGGACTATGTTCAAAATTTCAAAGGATTATGGAAACAAGAAAATATTGAGACTTTATCAGCCAATAGCGAAGCGATGCGCGTGAGATATTTTGACCATGCTATCTTGTCTATACTTCTAATGTATCCTTACATTATGAGTTTCAAAAAATTTCATCAAAAAATAGAAAAGTTACGGCAATATCCATTATATTGGTCATTTCACGTGTTGCACGTGCACGCTCTTGCAAGCACGTGCGCGCAAAATGACCTTGATTCCGCAAATCTACATAACATGTCTACTGACCCTAAAAAGGTTTTACCTACATCGGACGAACAGTTTACAAGATCACTCCCGGACAAAAAAGTACCCAGGAAGAAGAAGAAGAAGAAAAATAATAATAACTAGTGCTAATTGTAACGGGGACCGTTACAGATGTTCCCCAAACGCTTCCCATCTCCCTTTTGGTGCCATATTCCCTGTAAGCTTCATTAAATAAGACAAACTTTATGCATTTGAGACTTTAACAACGTTTACGCAGAATGGTACCAAGTTCATTCAAATTTCTGCACGCGTCATGTGAATGCACGTAATGACCCATCTTTTCTAAATCATACTTTAATATACTAAATATTAAAGTATTTAATCCAAAAGTATAAAAGAATACGCTCATTCAAGTGTATTTTTGATTTTATTCATTGTACGCACGTGCATACATGAGCATGGTGACATACCTTCTTGTAGAAGTCCATTACATCTATATATGTTCTAAATCCCACTCCGTTTGGTTGAAAACCAAGGGAGTTATAGCTGATTAAAGTTTCAGCCAATCAGATTGCAGCGTACGTTCACGCATGTGTATTGATGTGCATGGTGATCATACCTTCTTGTAGAAGTCCATTGTATCTATCTATGTTCCAAATCTCATCCTGTTTAATTGAAAATTAGCTATTTAAAGTTTCGGCCAATCTTTATTGCAGCGCACGTACACGCACGTGTATGGATGTGCTTGGTGACCATACCTTCCTGTAGAAGTCTATTATATCTATCTATGTTCCAAATCCCATCCTGTTAGATTGAAAACCAAGGGAGTTATTGCTATTTAAAGTTTCAGCCAATCAGATTGCAGCGCACGTGCATGCACCTGTTTTCATGATAATTTTTATATATCATTTTGTAGGATATCCTAATGCATGGCTATGTTCAAAATCTCAAAGGATTTCATCAAAAAACAAGAAAGATATTGAGACTTTAGTTTCAGCCAATCAGAGCGAAGCGCACGTGCATGCGCGTGAGATCTTGCTATTTTGACCATGTCTTATTGTCTATGCTACTTCTATATCCTTATATTATGAGTTTCAAAGCATTTCATAAAAAATGTAAAAAGTTACGCCGATATCAATTAAATCGTCATTGTTCGAGTTGCACGTGCGCGCTCTTACGTATGACCTTTTGGCAAATCTACATAACATGTCTAACCCTAAAAATACCTTAGATGTGTAGTTTACAAGATCACTATTTTCCCAGGAATAATAATAATAATAACTAGTGCTAATATTACGACTCCCTTTTTTATTCCCTGTAAGCTTCATTATGCATTTGAAATTTTAACAATGACCCAGAAATGTACCATGCTCATTCAAATTTTAGCATTGCATGTGTGCGCATGTGAAGGCATATAGTAATGAATATCATCTTGTCTACACAATCTATATATTTTAATATACTTAATATTAAAGTATTTAATCCAAAAGTATTAAAAAATACGCTTATTCAAGTGTATTTTTGATTTTACCCATTTCACGTGCACGCACGTGCATAATGAGCATGGTATACCTTAATTGTAGAAGTTCATTAAATCTATCTGTGTTCTAAATCCCATCCCGTTTGGTTAGTTAAAACTGTTTAAAGTTTCAGCCAATCAGATTTATACACGCACATGTATATTTACTTTCTTTAGATGTCCATTATATATATCTACATCCTGTTTGGTTGTTATAACTGTTTAAAGTTTCAGCCAATCAGATTGCAGCTCACGTACACGCATATGCATATGCATGGTATATTATTGTAGTCTTATATATCTATGTTCCAAATCCCATTAAATAGCTTTTTAAAGATTCAGCCAATCAGATTGCAGCTTACGTACACGAACGTGTATGCATGTGCATGGTGACCATACCTTTTTTTAAAAGTCCATTTTATATATCTATGTTCCAAATCCCATCCTGTTTGGTTGAAAATCAAGGGAGTTATAGCTATTTAAAGTTTCAGCCAATCAGATTGCAGCGCACGTGCATGCACGTGTTTTGAAATGATAATATATATCATGTTGTAGGATATCCTAATGCATGGCTAAGTCAAAATTTAAAGGATCTCCTCAAAAAACAAGAAAGATATTGAGACTTTAGTTTCAGCCAATCAGAGCAAAGCGCACGTGCATGCGCGTGAGACCTTGCTATTTTGACCATATCATATTGTCTATATTACTAATATATAAATGCATTTCATCAAAAATTTAAAAAGTTACGCCTATGTCAATTAAAATTTTACATGTTAGGTCATAAAGGCAAATCTACATAACATGTCTATTGACCATAAAAACACTTAGTCGGATGTGTACTTTACAAGATCACTCAAGGACAAAATTTTCCCAGGAATAATAATAATAATAATAAGAAACAGAGTAAAAACAATATGTTCCCCAACTTCGTTTGGGGAACATAATAATAAGAAACAGAGTAAAAACAATATGTTCCCCAACTTCGTTTGGGGAACATAATAAGGTATCATTTAAAAACATCTATCAGTATGTAAATACAGGTAGGTACAAGATCAAATTAAACATTCAGCATGGGCTTCATGGAATTTGATCTTGTGACCAACGCGTATTTACATCTTGATATATGTTTCGAAATGATACCTTATTTCTTAAATATATATGTATACTTTGTCTGATAGAATGATTTTTTAGGATATTCCTTTATCCGTTACTTTTTCCTGAAATCTCAGTGACCCTTTTCACAAAAAAATCTTACAACCAAGACAAAAAAATTAATATTCCCCAAAAAGTACCTACGCTGGAAGAGATCACAAAAACTCTTATTTCCCCCTGTTTATTTTGACAATATTGTAAATAATATTTTAGAAAAAAATGTATACAATCCCTTTTAAACTATAAACTTACAGGGTTGTGAAATTTTTATCTTTAGGTAGTCGTAAATTTTTTTTGTGAAAAGTGCCATAGACTTTGTATGATTTTACATGTATTACGATATGTTTACATTTTTATGAACAGCGTGAAATCCCTGACTTTGATGATGATGAAGACAGGCCTGACAATGAAGACGAGAAGCCGGTGGTCGTACAACTGAGGGAGGGGGATCTAACTGCAGAAGAGGCGGAAAGGCTGCAAAAGACTGAAGGTTAGGCAAAGATAAATATAATGTGTGTTTCATAAAAGATAGAAGTTGACTCTGTACTGCTTCTACAACCAAGATAATGAAAAAAGTGTGTTACCTAAAAGATAGATGGAATATGCACTGCTTAGGCCAAAATAAAAAAAAAATACTAAGTAGTATGTTTGCTGAAAGATTTTAGAGTGGCCAAGATAAAAAAAAAGCGTGTTTCGAAAAAGATAAGAGGAATATGCACTGCTTGGGCCAAAATAAGTAAATTGTGTGTTTCCTTAAAGATAGAAGTTGACTCTGTACAGATAATATTCATTGTATTGTTTATGTTACTGTTGTTATGTTCTTTCTCCATAGAACCCCCAGCTGATGGTAAGATCACATTTAAGAAGCCAGTGAAGAGGGGCGGGGAGGAGGCATCAGAATTAAAAACTTCTACAAAGAAGAGGAAGGAAGAGAAAGGAGGGAAGAAGAAATCAGGGAAAGGTGTCAAGAACTCGACTTTGTTGTCATTTAATGAAGAGGAAGAGGATGTCACATGACACATGTCATAGGATGTCACATGATACATGTCATAGGATGTCATGTGACATGTCATAGGATGTCACATGACATGTTACAGAATGCCACATGACTTTTAACACAGTATATCACGTGGCATATGCCATGGAATGTCACATGACTCATGTCAGGATGTTATAGAATACATGTAGGATGTCACATGACACTAAGAACTTGATGTCACATGACACATTTCAGAGGATGTCACATGACATTTTTTATAGGATGCCTCATGAAACATGTCATAGGATGTCACAAGAGTGTCACATGACACCTGTCATAGGAGAGTCTCATATGATATGTTTCATGAATGAACTGTTTTTTTTTGTCATCAAGTTGTGTTTAACCATATAAAATCATTAATTTTATACAATTCTGCAATCACATAATCTTTTTGGGTTAAGTCTTGATTAAGTTCTTTTGTAAAATGTACCCCTACATTGTTTATCTGTCCGTCTGTTAGCTTTTTCGTTTCTGGCTCATAACTTTAATACTTTTACGCCTAGGATTATCAAACTTTGTCATCTGATGTGTCTTGGGTAGAAGGTGTGTCACACACAAAAAGTATGTGGCTCAGACCTTTAATTAAGAAGTTATAGACAAATATGGAAAAATCCTTTACGGCCCATAACTAGAAAACTGTAAGACTTAGAATCATCAAACTTGGCCAGTTTATGCATCTTAGGTAGAAGGTGTGTCACGACCTATTTCAAGGTCACTTTGACCTTTAATTTAATTGAAATAAAAAAAAATGTGTTATTTTACTATTCGTTTACACATCCCAAATAATGTAAAGTATTGCACTATCCTTATTAAAAAAGTGTTAAATCAAGAAAATACATATTTTCTAAGCATATACATGTACTTGACAGCAATCTAAAACAAAGATAATGTATGTTAGAGAAATCCCACTTCTCCCATGAGTATAATTATCAAGCACTGGTCAAGAAGAATTTTGGTAACAGAAAATTGCATGTCAAATTAGAGAGAAATTAATGAGTTTAGTGTGAGGAGCTAACTGGTAGAGCATCAGTGTTATGTTATCTATATCCCTTGGGTATTGGGCAAATGGGTAAGCCTGTTGGATTAAAAATAGCTCTTGTTGGCTAGCCTAAGTATTAAAATGAATTTGATGAAAAATGATTAAAACTAATTTGATATTGCATAATAGACTAATCTGATATTATACGTGTATATTATTATTAATTGAAAAACTAATTTTATGGGGTGGGTTGGAATCAGCATGTCCATATGAATTACATGTTAAAACCTGTCTGACATTAAATCTCAAAAAAAAAATCTGAGAGTACTTTATATGTTTTAAAAATGTTTTATGGTAGATAGTGCAGACCCTTTCATCTCTTGGTAGTAATGAGTAAACAAGCATCCAGTTAAAGATTAATTAATGAATTCAATGTAGGAAGGCTAGCTGTATCAATCATTTCTTTAGAGCATCTCTGATCAAGCAGTCTTATCTGTATCCTTTGGGGATTAGACAGAAGAACTTGGTCAGTTTTATAGCATATTTCATTTGATGGCCAGCCTTTTATTTTCAAAATTAATTTGGTATAGATTAAGGTGTTAAGACTAATTTGATGTTCTTTAATATGATGGGCATTTGACAAGATCTAATACAACCAGCATAGAAATCTATCAATGATGTAATATTTATGATAATTAGTGCGTACATCACAGGGGATGGATAAATATTTTAAGGAATGGAAAAATCAATGGAAATCTTAGAATCAAGGTTGACATGATTTTCTTGCACTCTAAACTGTTTAAGAAAATTGTAATTTTTTGACGGGCATACCATGCTGTGGCGTGGCACTTTACATTACATGTAGAAAGAGTGCATTGAATTGGTCCTTGATAACAAGACCTCTAACACAGAAAAATGAAGACCCAGTATTGCACTTTCCTGGACTTATTAAAAGACACAGCAGTAAAGCTGTGGAGTATTGTATTTATTGGACTTATCAAAAGACACAGCATTAAATCTGTGGAGTATTGTATTTATTGGACTTGTTAAAAGACACAGCATTAAATCTGTGGAGTATTGTATTTATTGGACTTATCAAAAGACACAGCATTAAATCTGTGGAGTATTGTATTTATTGGACTTATTAAAAGACACAGCATTAAATCTGTGGAGTATTGTATTTATTGGACTTATCAAAAGACACAACAGTAAATCTGTGGAGTATTGTATTTATTGGACTTATTAAAAGACACAACAGTAAAGCTGTGGAGTATTGTATTTTCATGAGCCTATTAAAAGACCCGAAGGGCGTTATACTAGTAGTAGATTTGATCACTTACCGACTTCATGTCATACCCAATGAAACTCTAAAAATGATATTTTATTTCTTATATTTGACGTTTTTAGTCGTGTTACAAAGAAATATAGGCATAATGTCGACTCTGCTTTGGAAATGCGACATAACGTATCTATGACGTCATGTGACGTCACAATCGGAACTTTCCAAATGACTCGTGCAGTTTGCTTTTCATACTCAAGAAAGTCTGATCATGTGACCAACTGCATGTCATTGAAAATTGAATTTCACTTTTATTAGCATTGTCATATAAGGAAAGACATCAGCAAATGTAAATATTGTGAATTAAGCTTGTACTTCAATACATTATTCTAATTTTCATGAAATATTTGTAGTTTAGCCAATTAATTACTAGAACCTACTTTGTAGTTTAGCCAATTATTAGAAGCTACTTAACTTTCCTCACATTTCAAGTCCCTTTCTAATAGCCAGTAAATAGTAACTACGTAGCTTTACTAACATGTTGTAGTCAGTTACTAGCAGCTAGCTTTATTCATATTTTAAAGCAGTAACAAGTTGCCAGTTACTTTTAGGTAGATTTACTAACATGTCGTAGCCAGCTGCTACTAGTAACAAGCTTTATTCACATTTACTAGTACTAGTAGCCATTTACTAATAGCTACATATAACATCCACTTTTTGCAGCCAGCTACTAGCTATAGTAGCCAGTTACTGGTAACTTACTTTATATATCTGTACTCTCAACATGTAAACACAGAACCCGTTTGTCTTTATCATATTACAAGTCTCATTAATAAATGCGCATGGAATCTGCTGTTACTTTCAAGTTATACCTTACTAATCCCTTTATACAACTGAGATATATAATAAATCACAGTAGTATGAACAATAAAGGGGCGGGCATGATTCAGGTGTGGATTTATATTACAGTATAGTCTGATTGATGAAAGAAAGCATTTTTCTTTCTAAATTAGAAACTAAAAAAAAAAAAGAAGAAAATTAAAAAAAAAACATCAGCGAGTGTAATAGTAAATATCATATTTGTATCATTTATTTTCTAGAAGTGCTTGTTTACATTGAATATAACTTTTAAAAGTCCATTAAAACAATACAGATACAGAAGCTAAAGTATACAAGGATCTATAAAATTTCAGAGGGAGGATCACAATGTTTCGTCGGTGGATTCATTTTCACAAGAAACAGACGTTGTTAGTTTCTGTCACGATGTCTGTCAAAAGATTAAAATTGAACTTATTCTACTTCTTAAGTTATGTTTCTATTATAAATACATCACCTCTTAATGATTTGAACATGTTGAAGAAAGATTAAAAAAATAATCATGATAATGAAAAATCCAAATATGTCAATTAATAGCACAAAATCCAAATCTTATAAACAATAAAATCATGTAAGAACTAACTATAAAAATTAGCCAATCGATACACAGAAACAGGTGCGTGTTTTCAGTATATATAAGTAGCTTTTACACGTAGATGTGAATACTAAATCAATGGTCCAGAATGATGGAGAAAGTTTTCCTTTGTATTCTATTTGCAGTGGTATGTCTTGTATATCTTATTTTTTCTTCATATTTTTAGGTGAAGCCCTATAGAGAACTTTTATATCCTTTAGGACGTTCGATCCTGAGCTTTTGAGCGGATTTTAGTCAGTCCTTTATTTATAAAATTCTGCATCATTTTTAAGTTCGAACATTAAATGTGAATTCTACAATGCAAATTAAACTATATTCAATTAAAAAAAAATTGCGATTAAGGTAAGATTCTTCTCTGGTTTCTGACTAGATGAAACATTCAAAGTACATTTGCTTATATGTCTTATATATTTAGTTGTAAGAGAATTAAAAGCCCATATTTTTCTTTCCTCATCACAATTGTACAACTTTAAATAGAAATGGTAAACTGCATTTGAAAACTAGCTGGGACTATATTTTTGGCGGAATGGTGGCGTATGAAAATATCTTCTTTTCTGCCTCTCAAAATTATAATAGAACAATGAATTTAATTATGATTTTTACACAATCAAAGACTTCAAGAAATTTTCAAATGTAAGTTAAATTCTAAACTTTCAAAATATATCAAAATAAATATGATTTTCCAAACAAACTAGAACTATGTTAGCTTTTAAACGCTTCCAATCAAAGTACAAATTTGAGCCAAAAATCCAAAAAAGTATTTTTTTTTTTTTTTTTTTACATTTAGACTACTCTATTAAAATGATGAAAATAAAAAAAAGTTTTCCCATATAAAAATAACTAATGAATTATAACAGCACTGTTAATTTTAGATTCCTATTTTTCCATGCTGGTTGCACACAAAGTTGTTTTTTGCAGTGAAATGTGAAATGCCGGTTTTGAAAAATCTATTAAATTATTTCTTATGAATTCTTTCAACGAAGTATGACGAATATAGTAAATATATTTTGAAAATCCGGGAAAAAATTGAGCCAATTTTGACGAAAAATTGACATTGTTTTAGTAATATCTGAAAATTTACATCAAATATCCCCACTTTTGATGTTCTTTTCTAAATATTCAAGATAACTTTGACCTCTTTGCTTAAACTCAGAAAAAGTTTAAGACTTTAAAATAATTTTCTTGCTTATTAAATTTTCAACGCCAGAAAAATCCTGTTTTATAAGTGCAGAAAGGTCAAATAATTGAATATGCGAAGCATTTTGAAACTTTTTCTTAGTCACAATTTTAAAGTGTCTTTTTTTAAAATAGAGTTCATTTTGTTTCATGCTTTAATTGGATAAAAAATATTGGAGGGAAAATGTCGAAGATGTTTTTTTAAAGTAAGACACAAATTTCAGTGCAAAAAGGTCATATTAAATGTACTGTAGCGCCAAAAGAAGCATATGGACCCCCATGTTTTAAATTTGAATTTTGATTAAGCTATGTGTGTAGAAACTGAAAATATACTTGGCAAAAAAGTTTAAGACTTTAAATATCAGGATCCAACATCGTTAACAAAACGTCACAAGAAATGCTACACAACTTTGTAGAATTCTCTTTAATATTAAAATTGTTATGAAAATATAACGTCTCCAAAAAAGAAAAAAAAAACACGAAAAAGAATTATTTAGTACAATTCATATGTATGATATTAATTAATCATTAGCAAGAAGAAAAAAAGTTTACCTCCAATTGCATGTACAATGTATACGTACAATGTTATTGAAAAAGACATTCCAACAGAAAACAACCCACAGAAGATGATTCCACATTTACTTTTCTTTTTTAAACAATAGGATTGCTTAATCCTAGAAGCCATGTGATCCTACCTCAATTTTAATAGGGGGATATTTTATGCTCTATTCACGTACCTTTTTTTGTTTTGTTAATGGATTTTTTAGATTGATCACCATATGTGATGAAATATGGCCATAACGAAAAGAATTCAAACTCAAATTCCATTTAAGCAAAACAAGTTAAGGGCAGAGGAAACACAAACTTAAAGAAATCAAAGGGGGATCAGGTGCCATGGAGGAGTAATCTTCCCTTTCCATTGGTCATATCCGCCTTTTTCTCCATGTTATTAACGTATAAACGAAAACAATCCTTAGAGCTTTTTGGTGTAAATAACGACCCAATTATTAGTATGAAAAACATCTTTCAGGATTTGACTAATTGATAGATTGATTTTGCTGACAAAGTCATTGTATCGACCATAAACGAAGGATATGGTGATAACGACCAGTATTCAACATCCGAGGTTGGATGAGGTGCCACGGAGGAGTGAGCATACCCTGTCGAACGGTCACACCCGCCTTGTGCTCCTTGTCATGATCGGGAAATAACGGAAAATCCCTCATCAATTTAGTGTATAAGTAATGGTCTGACAATTAGTATGAAACGTCAGTCAGCATTTCAGTCTTTGGGAAATTGTATTTGCTGACGAAATGATGACTTTAGAAAAGACGGCTGATATTCTATTTCATCAGTGTGTTAGTTAATAGCGTGTCTCTTTTTAAAAATGAATCATACGTAGATCATCTTCTTTTCCATAATAGGTTGGTGGACAGAAAGACCGATTTAGCCCAAATCAACCCTCTATTGTGAAACCAGGGAGATGTCCGGTTTCTAATGAAATCACGCCTTGTGACTGTAACCTGGCGAACATTCGGTGTAATGGGGACCAAGACTGTCCCGGAGGTAGGTGCAATATCCAAGTAAAGTTACAGAATTTATCTGGCAAACGTTAGACAGTCTGTTCACAGAAGAATATTTTGGTGTTGACATGGAATTTCTTTCTCTCTAACCGTTTCAAGGAATGCAACACTTATATGCGATCAGTTGGATTTACTGAATAATACTGTAATTAAATAGAAACAAAACACATAACAGGATATTTTAATTAAATACGGAATAAAAGCATCTAGCACGACAGAAAAAAAAATCGGACAGTAAGTGTAGGCCAACCTTTGATATATTGTTTGTTTGCCCTCTCCTGACAAAGATGAAAAGATTCAGTATAGGTAGTTCGGGGTGAAAATTTTCGACAGAAAACGTCAATGCTGAATTTCCAAAATACATAGGCAATAAATGTTTCCTGGAGGTAAAAAATATCTATGTCAGGACAATACAAATATTTTAAGATTGACTTTTGTGATTTTTTAAATTTATTTAAAGTTCAGAAGTGCTGTTCTTTCGGCTGCGGGTGCAGAACACGATGTGAAGTTCCCGAGGGAGAAAAGAACAAGGGTGCGTAGTAACCTTTTTTTCCCTATAAATTAGCGCCTACAAAATCAAAGTAAAGATGAAACATGTGCAGTCTGTCACATTGTGAATTTCGACGGTAAACTTTGCTCCCATTTTTTCTATTTTCCATGTTTCTCTAGACTATGGAATACAACACTCTGTCTATTTCGACACAAATTTCGTCTTCTAGTGCATGTTGTCCCGTGGGGATCCGGGTTAGAATAGGTCCTCAGTACCCCCTTACTTGTCGTAAAAGGCGACTAAATGGGGCAGTCCTTCGGATGAGACCGTATAAACCGAGGCCCCGTGTCACAGCAGGTGTGGCACGATAAAGATCCCTCCCTGCTCAAAGGCCGTAAGTGCCGAGCATAGGCCTAAATTTGCAGCCCTTCAACGGCAATAGTGACGTCTCCATATCAGTGAAATATTCTGGAGAGGGACGTTAAACAGTATACAATCAATCAATCAATCTAGTGCATGTTGGATTACACAGGTTTGACTTTTTTTCAGTGCTCAACAAAAGTATTTGTCTCTCTAGTAGAAGAATTACCCTAAATAATCCACAAATAATTAAAATTTGAAATACGGAGCTAATTTAAGGAACGGTAATCAAGCCCAAAATTCCATTCAAACAATTAAAATCTTACGCAGAATAAGTACAGATATCTTCAATCATAGGATCAGGTGCCATAGAAGTGTAAGCAGCAGAAAAAAATGCAATTAATATTTTTTCTTCGAAAACACTTGTTTAAAAATGCATATATGTTTTGATATCCATTTGAGTAAAATTCTGGAATTTTGACTTATATTAGTTGATGAATAGAGAAACAGGTAAAAATCAAGATTTTGTTTTTCTGTAGTATACATTTTCAGGTTACTAGATTTATTTTATTGGAATGCATGTAAAATAGTAGATTTGCAGCATAAGGGTACCACTAATTTTAATTTTGATCTGTTACGGTAAATTTATTTTAAGCATATAGATATTCCGATACAATATATCACTAACATATTTGGTAGTAATACCTGAAGGAAAACATGCATATTGCGAATTCGCTATAATGGTTATACAAATTAGTTATACGGATATAACGAATTACGGATATAGCGAATTAAATTCTCAGGTCCCCAGGACTTCGCTATAACCGACTTTTACTGTATGAGGAAAACAGTAAATTCTATTTTTATCATTTGGGTATACATATAACATTTTATATACATTCTTTTTTTAGTATAGTTATAACAGTAAATACTTTTTTAATATGTCGGTATAATGATAAATTCTATTTTCAGTGTGTTGGTAAACTGATAAATTCTATTTTTAGTATATCGGTATAATGATAATTTTTTTTAGTACGTCTGTATAATGGTAAATCCTATTTTTAGTACGTCTGTATAACGGTAAATTCTATTTTTAGTGTGTCGGTATAACGGTAAATTCTATTTTTTAGTATGTCTATATAACGGTAAATTCTATTTTAAGTATGTCGGAATATAATGGTAAATTCTATTTTTAGTATGTCGGTTTAAGGAGGCTAGGGGGTCAACAAATTATTTTTTATTAACCACCAGATATAACTTAAATTTTAGGATATGATATCTTAAGCTGTCAACTATCATTCGGCAAAGGAAAGTTTCATAAATTTTAGCTTTGAAATTTTATCATTTTATTATATCTTTATATGGAGCTCTTCTTCTAATGGAGATGAAAATAGTCTAAAAATGGCTACGACCACCCAGCCCCCTCAACAATAATATTTATTTTTAGTATGTAGTATATTTATTTTTAGTATTTATAACGGTAAACTCTATTATTAGTATGTCGGTATATAATGGTAAATTTTATTATTAGTATGTCGGTATAACTGTAAATTCTATTTTTAGTATGTCAGTTTAACGGTAAATTCTATTTTTAGTATGTCGGTATAACGGTAAATTCTATTTTTAGTATGTCGGTATAACGGTAAATTCTATTTTTAGTATGTCGGTATAACGGTAATTTTTATTTTTAGTATGTCAGTATAACAGTAATTTTTGATTTTTAGTATGTCGGTATAACGGTAAATTCTACAAGGTTGGACAGAGTTTTCCCGCTGGGGATGGATGTAATAGATGCACCTGTAGATCCAACGGACAGGTTATCTGTACACTTATAGCGTGTGACACAAGTAAGTAATAGATGTAGGTTATCTGTACACTTATAGCGTAGGCTACAAGTAAGTAATAGATGTAGGTTATCTGTACACTTATAGCGTTTGTCACAAGTAAGTAATAGATGTATGTTATCTGTACACTTATAGCCTGTACCACAAGTAAATAATAGATGTAGGTTATCTGTACACTTATAGCGTTTGTCACAAGTAAGTAATAGATGTAGGTTATCTGTACTCTTATAGCATGTGTCACAAGTAAGTAATAGATGTAGGTTATCTGTACACTTATAGCGTGTGTCACAAGTAAGTAATAGATGTAGGTTATCTGTACTCTTATAGCGTGTGTCACAAGTAAGTAATAGATGTAGGTTATCTGTACTCTTATAGCGTGTGTCACTAGTAAGTAACAGATGTTGGTTATCTGTACTCTTATAGCGTGTGTCACTAGTAAGTAATAGATGTAGGTTATCTGTATACTTATAGCGTGTGTCACAAGTAAGCAATAGATGTAGGTTATCTGTACTCTTATAGCGTTTGTCACAGGTAAGTAATAGATGCAGGTTATCTGTACTCTTATAGCGTGTGTCACAAGTAAGTAATAGATGTAGGTTATCTGTACTCTTATAGCGTGTGTCACAAGTAAGTAATAGATTAGGATATCTGTACACTTATAGCGTGTGTCACAAGTAAGTAATAGATGTAGGTTATCTGTACTCTTATAGCGTGTGTCACAAGTAAGTAATAGATGTAGGTTATCTGTACTCTTATAGTGTATGTCACTAGTAAGTAATAAATGTAGGTTATCTGTGTTTTATAGTGTGTGCAGCAAGTAAGTAACAGATGTAGGTTATCTGTACTCTTATAGCGTGTGTCACAAGTAAGTAATAGATGTAGGTTATCTGTACACTTATAGCGTGTGCAGCAAGTAAGTAATAGATGTAGGTTATCTGTACACTTATAGCGTGTGACAAGTAAGTAACAGATATAGGTTATCTGTACTCTTATAGCGTGTCCCACAAGTAAGTAATAGATGTAGGTTATCTGTACACGTATAGCGTGTGTCACAAGTAAGTAACAGATATAGGTTATCTGTATACTGATAGTGTGTGCAGCAAGTAAGTAATAGATGTAGGTTATCTGTACTCTTATAGCGTGTCCCACAAGTAAGTAATAGTTGTAGGTTATCTGTACACTTATAGCGTGTGTCACAAGTAAGTAACAGATATAGGTTATCTGTACTCTTATAGCGTGTGTCAAAAGTAAGTAATAGATGTAGGTTATCTGTACTCTTATAGCGTGTGTCACAAGTAAGTAATAGATGTAGGTTATCTGTACACTAATATAGCGTGTACCACAAGTAAGTAATAGATGTAGGTTATCAGTACACTTATAGCGTGTGTCACAAGTAATAGATGTAGGTTATCTGTACTCTTATTGCGTGTGTCACAAGTAAGTAATAGATGTAGGTTATCTGTACTCTTATTGCGTGTGTCACAAGTAAGTAATAGATGTAGGTTATTTGTACACTTATAGCGTGTGCCACAAGTAAGTAATAGATATATGTTATCTGTACACTTATAGCGTTTGTCACAAGTAAGTAATAGATGTATGTTATCTGTACACTTATAGCCTGCACCACAAGTAAGTAATAGATGTAGGTTATCTGTACACTTATAGCGTTTGTCACAAGTAAGTAATAGATGTAGGTTATCTGTACTCTTATAGCGTGTGTCACAAGTAAGTAATAGATTAGGTTATCTGTACACTTATAGCGTGTGTCACAAGTAAGTAATAGATGTAGGTTATCTGTACTCTTATAGCGTGTGTCACAAGTAAGTAATAGATGTAGGTTATCTGTACTCTTATAGCGTGTGTCACTAGTAAGTAATAGATGTTGGTTATCTGTACTCTTATAGCGTGTGTCACAAGTAAGTAATAGATGTAGGTTATCTGTACACTTGTAGCGTGTGTCACAAGTAATAGATGTAGGTTATCTGTACTCTTATAGCGTTTGACACAAGTAAGTGATAGATGTAGGTTATCTGTACACTTATAGCGTGTGACAAGTAAGTAATAGATTTAAGTTATCTGTACACTTATAGCGTGTGACACAAGTAAGTAATAGATTAGGATATCTGTACACTTATAGCGTGTGTCACAAGCAAGTAATGGATGTAGGTTATCTGTACACTTATAGCGTGTGTCACAAGTAAGTAATAGATGTAGGTTATCTGTACTCTTATAGCGTGTGTCACAAGTAAGTAATAGATGTAGGTTATCTGTGCTCTTATAGCGTGTGTCACTAGTAAGTAATAGATGTAGGTTATCTGTATACTTATAGTGTGTGTCACAAGTAAGTAATAGATGTAGGTTATCTGTACACTTATAGCGTTTGTCACAAGTAAGTAATAGATTAGGTTATCTGTACACTTATAGCGTGTGTGACAAGTAAGTAATAGATGTAGGTTATCTGTACTCTTATAGCGTGTGTCACAAGTAAGTAATAGATGTAGGTTATCTGTACTCTTATAGCGTGTGTCACTAGTAAGTAATAGATGTAGGTTATCTGTACTCTTATAGCATGTGTCACTAGTAAGTAATAGATGTAGGTTATCGGTACACTTATAGTGTGTGTCACAAGTAAGTAATAGATGTAGGTTATCTGTATACTTATAGCATGTATCACAAGTAAGTAATAGATGTAAGTTATCTGTAGACTTATAGCGTGTGCCACAAGTAAGTAATAGATGTAGGTTATCTGTATACTTATAGTGTGTGTCAAAGTAAGTAACAGATGTAGGTTATCTGTACACTTATAACGTGTACCACAAGTAAGTAATAGATGTAGGTTATCTGTAGATTTATAGCGTGTACCACAAGTAAGTAATAGATGTAGGTTATCTGTACACTTATAACGTGTGTCACAAGTAAGTAATAGATGTAGGTTATCTGTACACTTATAGCGTGTACCACAAGTAAGTAATAGATGTAGGTTATCTGTAGACTTATAACGTGTGCCACAAGTAAGTAATAGATGTAGGTTATCTGTACACTTATAACGTGTACCACAAGTAAGTAATAGATGTAGGTTATCTGTAGACTTATAGCGTGTACCACAAGTAAGTAATAGATGTAGGTTATCTGTACACTTATAGCGTGTGCCACAAGTAAGTAATAGATGTAGGTTATCTGTACACTTATAGTGTGTGCAGCAAGTAAGTAACAGATGTAGGTTATCTGTACTCTTATAGCGTGTGTCACAAGTAAGTAATAGATGTAGGTTATCTGTACACTTATAGCGTGTGCCACAAGTAAGTAATAGATGTAGGTTATCTGTACACTTATAGCGTGTGACAAGTAGGTAACAGATATAGGTTATCTGTACTCTTATAGCGTGTCCCACAAGTAAGTAATAGATGTAGGTTATCTGTACACGTATAGCGTGTGTCACAAGTAAGTAACAGATATAGGTTATCTGTATACTGATAGTGTGTGCAGCAAGTAAGTAATAGATGTAGGTTATCTGTACTCTTATAGCGTGTCCCACAAGTAAGTAATAGTTGTAGGTTATCTGTACACTTATAGCGTGTGTCACAAGTAAGTAACAGATATAGGTTATCTGTACTCTTATAGCGTGTGTCACAAGTAAGTAATAGATGTAGGTTATCTGTACTCTTATAGCGTGTGTCACAAGTAAGTAATAGATGTAGGTTATCTGTACACTAATATAGCGTGTACCACAAGTAAGTAATAGATGTAGGTTATCTGTACACTTATAGCGTGTGTCACAAGTAAGTAATAGATGTAGGTTATCTGTACTCTTATAGCGTGTCCCACAAGTAAGTAATAGATGTAGGTTATCTGTACACTTAAAGCGTGTGTCACAAGTAAGTAATAGATGTAGGTTATCTGTACACTTATAGCGTGTGTCACAAGTAAGTAATAGATGTAGGTTATCTGTACACTTATAGCGTGTGTCACAAGTAAGTAATAGATGTAGGTTATCTGTACTCTTATTGCCTGTGTCACAAGTAAGTAATAGATGTAGGTTATTTGTACACTTATAGCGTGTGTCACAAGTAAGTAATAGATGTAGGTTATCTGTACTCTTATAGCGTGTGTCACAAGTAACAGATGTAGGTTATCTGTACTCTTATAGCGTGTGTCACAAGTAAGTAATAGATGTAGGTTATCTGTACTCTTATAGCGTGTGTCACAAGTAAGTAATAGATGTAGGTTATCTGTACTCTTATAGCGTGTGACACAAGTAAGTGATAGATGTAGGTTATCTGTACACTTATAGCGTGTGACACAAGTAAGTAATAGATGTAGGTTATCTGTACACTTATAGCGTAGGCCACAAGTAAGTAATAGTTGTAGGTTATTTGTACACTTATAGCGTGTGTCACAAGTAAGTAATAGATGGAGGTTATCTGTACACTTATAGCGTGTGTCACTAGTAAGTAATAGATGTAGGTTATTTGTACACTTATAGCGTGTGTCACAAGTAAGTAATAGATGTAGGTTATTTGTACACTTACAGCGTGTGACACAAGTATGTAATAGATGTAGGTTATTTGTACACTTATAGCGTGTGTCACAAGTAATAGATGTAGGTTATCTGTACTCTTATAGCATGTGTCACAAGTAAGTAATAGATGTAGGTTATCTGTACTCTTATAGCGTGTGACACAAGTAAGTAATAGATGTAGGTTATCTGTACACTTATAGCATGTGTCATAAGTAAGTAATAGATGTAGGTTATCTGTACTCTCATTGCCTGTGTCACAAGTAAGTAATAGATGTAGGTTATTTGTACACTTATAGCGTGTGTCAGAAGTAAATAAGAGATGTAGGTTATTTGTACACTTAAAGCTTGTGTCACAAGTAAGTAATAGATGTAGGTTATTTGTACACTTACAGCGTGTGACTCAAGTAAGTAATAGATGTAGGTTATCTGTACACTTATAGCGTAGGCTACAAGTAAGTAATAGATGTAGGTTATTTGTACACTTATAGCGTGTGTCACAAGTAAGTAATAGATGTAGGTTATCTGTACACTTATAGCGTGTGTCACTAGTAAGTAATAGATGTAGGTTATTTGTACACTTATAGCGTGTGTCACAAGTAAGTAATAGATGTAGGTTATTTGTACACTTACAGCGTGTGACACAAGTATGTAATAGATGTAGGTTATTTGTACACTTATAGCGTGTGTCACAAGTAATAGATGTAGGTTATCTGTACTCTTATAGCGTGTGTCACAAGTAAGTAATAGATGTAGGTTATCTGTACACTTATAGCGTGTGTCACTAGTAAGTAATAGATGTAGGTTATCTGTACACTTATAGCGTGTGTCACAAGTAAGTAATAGATGTAGGTTATCTGTACACTTATTGCGTGTGTCACAAGTAGGTAATAGATGTAGGTTATCTGTACACTTATAGCGTGTGTCACAAGTAAGTAATAGATGTAGGTTATCTGGTCACTTGTAGCATGTACCACAAGTAAGTAATAGATGTAGGTTATCTGTACACTTATAGCGTGTGCCACAAGTAAGTAACAGGAATCAATGATTTACACTTTTAACGTAGAACCTACGTCGTATGACATCATAACTAGTGAATGTGTTTAGTCTTTGCTAGATCCATTATGACGTCATACTTATATCAATATCACTTTTTCCCGTACTTTACAGCTTCAGTAGAAATGGTAGAAAATACTGCATTTTGAAATTCACAGAATTAAATTTAAAATCATGCTGAAAAAGTCTTAATTCAATTTATATATTTTTTGGTTAAAATGCTTAATGACAATATATTTCTGCATGGAATTAGAGAAACCTGTAGGCACCTTTCATTTACAGGATCTTGGCCTTAATGAAGTTGACAAATCCAAGATTATCTTGTGTAATGAAATTACATGTACATTGTATACAACTTACTGTTAAAATGTGAATGGTATGTAACTATTTTGAAGGAATGCAAAAATCCTAAGAAATCTTCAGTTGCCAACTAAAAAGTGTAATATATTGATGAAATGTGTCGAAGTCAAAGATGTACGTGTTGTAGATGGTGTGATCGTGTGTACATTTTTGTGATATCTATCATGAAATGATGTGCACTCCTTTTTTGTAATTATTTGTTTCTTATTCATATTCTTGGTGTTTGATTACAATTTTTTTTATTAAATATGATCTTTTTGAATAAAAAGTACAATTTAAGTTAAACATTTTTAATCTGAAAGTAACCCCAAACTAAATACCGTGTAAGTGCAAAAAGGTCAAGAAAATTAGCATCGGTAAATTACCTGTCTCTTATTAATTAGAGGCGAAAGGTATATATTTTAATCACTTTTCATAATCATTTGGGTATGTTCTTCATCATATTAAAGTTTGAAAACATTGTGACAAAGGGTTCTGAATAATATTGACAAATTTAGGGTCGAAATTTGACAAAAAATAATAGAGTTCATTAGCCTATATTTTCTTAAATGTGGACTTATCTTTTATGTCGATGGAATAAAAAGGAATTTATTATTGAGAAATACTGTTTAATACTGTTCAGTTAATAAAGTCAACGAACGACGATGTTTAGATAAGTATTTTTGAGATTTTTCATATTCTCTTTATGTCAAGTACCCCTAAAAATGACTGAAAATGTGTAGTCGCAGTATGTAAATACCATTCTATGTTTCACAGGCTGCACTACATTTAGTAACAAGGAAACATATCATGTGCTTTTGACTGATTAATAAGCGAGTGCTAATATTTCATTTTGAAAAGTTTGAAAATCTTGTGACAAAGACTTTTCCGACATAGGTTCTACCTTAAGTCAATTGTTAGAAATCAAACTTTCCCTTTATAAACCTTGTCTGAATCCCCAACTTAACTTTTGTTCAAACCACTCAATTCGTATTTGATATGTACTAATACTTCTATACAGTAATCACTTGAATGAATTTTTTTTATTTCAATTCACTGAAAACAAGTTCTGTTCTAAATGCGAACAAGCGTATATTTTTTTCTTCTAGGACATACGCATGCTTGTTGTCAAATACAAAGAGCTAACTAGGTACTACTTTACAATTTTAATTAATTCTATAATTTCTTATAGGATGTAGTTACAACTACAGGGCTTACAAACCCGGGCAGAGTTTCCCATCAATAGACGGTTGCAACAGATGTACGTGTGGAACTGATGGGCGTGTCAGCTGCACAGAACGAGCATGTATAAGGCGTAGGTATACAATAAGATGGGCGTGTCAGCTGCACAGAACGAGCATGTATAAGGCGTAGGTATACAATAAGATGGGCATGTCAGCTGCACAGAGAAAACATGTATAAGGCGTTAGTATACAATAAGATGGGCGTGTCAGCTGCACAGAAAGAACATGTATAAGGCGTAGGTATACAATAAGATGGGCGTGTCAGCTGCACAGAAAGAACATGTATAAGGCGTAGGTATACAATAAGATGGGCGTGTCAGCTGCACAAAACGAGCATGTATAAGGAGTAGGTATACAATAAGACGGGCGTGTCAGCTGCACAGAAAGAGCATGTATAAGGCGTAGGTATACAATAAGATGGGCGTGTCAGCTGAACAGAACGAGTATGTATAAGGCATATGTATACAATAAGAAGGGCGTGCCAGCTGCACAGAAAGAACATCTATAAGGTGTAGGTATACAATAAGATGGGCGTGTCAGCTACACAGAACGAGAATGAATAAGGCGTAGGTTAATAATAAAATGGGCGTGTTAGCTGCACAGAACGATCATGTAAAAGGCGTAGGTATATAATAAGATAGGCTTGTCAGCTGCACAAAATGAGCATGTATAAGGCGTAGGTATACAATAAGATGGGCAGCCGTACAGAACGAGCATGTATAAGGCATAGGTATATAATAAGATGGGCGTGTCAGCTGCACAGAAAGAGCATGTATAAGACGTCGGTATATAATAAGATGGGCGTATCAGCTGCACAGAATGAGCCTGTAAAAGGTGTAGGTATATAATAAGATGGGCTGTATAGAAAGAGCATGTATTAGGCGTAGGTATACATTTAGATGGGCGTGTCAACTGAACAGAGAGAACATGTATTAGGTATACAATAAAGTAGTACGTAAAGATATAAAGGGCCTGTCAGTCGTGCAGAAAGAACGTACATTAAGTGTATGTATACAATAGTAGTACTAGTATATGTGGAGCATATGGGTGTGTCAAACACTTCATACAGTAGGAGAAGGCATACAAAATTTAGTCAAATTATCTTTAAAAAATGACTTCAAAATTGACCAGATTTTAAATGTTACATCAAGCGGATAAAAAAGTGCGTCATTGTGACGTAGATAACACAGGTTATACGATGAAACTAGTTTTTATCCAGTCAAATGACGTAGTAGAAACAATATTGAATCATGTATATTTAGCTAGTGTAAACCAAGTTTTGTAAATTTACATAAATGAAAAGCAGATAATTTCAGTGATTCGTAGAAAAATATTGTTTTTAATGGAATTGATTTCATGGCTGAAGAAATGCTAATTCATAATTTTGTTTTTGAAATTAAGTAATTCGTGGAGAACATTATGGTAGGTTTTCTAGTCCACGAACACTTCAAAGTTAACCAAATTAAATATAAGTGATTCTACAGTAGTTAATAAAAACATCATACATTTTTTGTACATGTGATTCATAGACTTTATTTTTCCTTTTACATTTGAAGACTGAACAATATACGTATTTAATACATTACACATTTTATTTCATGTTCTTTTGAGCGTCTTTGAATTAATTGATAGTTGTAGTTTGTAGACATTTCGGGAGGGTTTTCATTGTGGGATAGAGTTTGTGTTATTTGTAGATTGCATATATAACATGATGTATTACATGTACTACAGAGCTTGTTATATTTGTAGGTTGTATGTATAACGTGACGTATTATATCAGAGCTTGTTATATGTTGTTTTATGTCGTAGATATAACGGCAGGTATTATAAAGTGGGTCAGAGTTTGTTATATTTATAGGTTGTAGATATAACGGCAGGTATTACAAAGTGGGACAGAGTTTGTTTTATTTATAGGTTGTAGATATAACAGTAGGTATTATAAAATGGGTCACAGTTTGTTACATTTGTAGGTTGTAGATATAACGGCAGGTAATATAAAGTGGGTCAGAGTTTGTTATATTTGTAGGTTGTAGATATAATGGCAGATATTACAAAGTGGGACAGAGTTTCCCCTCTATTGATGGATGTAACAGATGTTCCTGTGGCTCTAATGGTCGCGTATTCTGTACATTAAGGGCCTGTATTAATCGTAAGTAAAGTAAATGTTGCTGTGGCTCTAATGGTCGCGTATTCTGTACACTAAGGGCCTGTATTAATCGTAAGTAAAGTAAATGTTGTAGCAGCTCTTATGGAGCGTACTCTGTACACTAAGAGCCTGTATTAATCGTAAGTAAAGTTAATGTTGCTGTGGCTCTAATGGTCGCGTATTCTGTACACTAAGGGCCTGTATTTAACGCAAGTAACGTAAATGTTGCTGTGGCTCTAATGGTCGTGTACTGTACAGCAGGAAATTAACTCGCGGAGTTAATTTTCGCTATATTCGCGGAAAATGAAATTCCGCGAATTCAACATACAGTGAATAATTCTTAAAAAGTTTTATAAGGATAAATTGAATTTTTATTATTTTCTGTGATTAGATGTAGACTGTCTTTATAATTATGCGAGTGTCTGGATCAATTACAAACACGTAGTTGTTGCTGTTATTAAAGCTTATTAATTAAGTAATTCCTTTCTATACTAACGATTAATTTTGCCATCTAGTAGACGTGCGATGTAATTATTTAATAAAACAGGCTTGTTTAATTTCACCCGTGCGTATCACGCAGTCATTACCTTTAATCAAGGCATTTACTTTGTAAACAGGGTAACGACAATTAATTAATTTCAATTATATGATTAAAAGTTCAACATTTTTACTACGGTATAAATTTTTTTCTGATTTGGACCCGCAAATAAAAAAAATTCAATGCGTAGCATTATTTTGACTTCAAATCGGGATCAGTCCGGTGTTTCATTATTATGCAATCGGGATCAAAATCGCCACAATATTATTAGTTACACAGTCAGGTAGTGACCTAATACGGATTCATACAGGGTGTGAAATGGAAATCCATATTGGGCGAGAAATAGCAGTTCAAACAATATATACCTTCAGAAAAATGCTTGCAAGTACTGTTTAAGAAATTTATGGTTTTTCCTTTTCCGCGAATTCAAACTACCACGATTTGCTGAAAATTGAACAAATCGCGATCTTTTCCGACCGCGATTTTAACCTGCTATACAGTACTGTGTACACTAAGGGGCTGTATTAAACGTAAGTTAATGTTGCTGTGGTTCTAATGGTCGTGTATTGTGTACACTAAGGACCTCTATTAAACATAAGTAAAGTAAATGCTGCTGTGGCTCGAATGGTCGCGTATTCTGTACACTAAGGGCCTGTATAAAACGTAAGTTAAGTAAATGTTGCTGTGGATCTAATGGTCGCGTATTCTGTACACAAAGAGCCTGTATAAAACGTAAGTAAAGTAAATGTTGCTCTGACTCTTATGGAGCGTGTATTCTGTACACTAAGAGCCTGTATTAATCGTAAGTAAAGTAATTGTTGCTGTGACTCTTATGGAGCGTGTATTCTGTACACTAAGGGCCTGTATTAATCGTATACGTAAGTAAAGTAAATGTTGCTGTGGCTCTTATGCAGTGTGTATTCTGTACACTAAGGGCCTGTATTAATCGTTAGTACAGTAAATGTTGCTGTGACTCTAATGGACGCGTATTCTGTACACTAAGGGCCTGTATTAATCGTTAGTACAGTAAATGTTGCTGTGACTCTAATGGACGCGTATTCTGTACACTAAGGGCCTGTATTAATCGTAAGTAAAGAAAATGTTGATGTGGCTCTTATGGAGCGTGTATTCTGTACACTAAGGGCCTGTATTAAACGTAAGTAAATAAATGATGCTGTGGTTCTATTGAACGTTTATTGTGTACACTAAGAGCCTGTATTAAACGTAAGTTAATGTTGCTGAGGCTGTAATGGTCGTGTATTCTGTACACTAACGGTCTTTATTAAACTTAATTTAATGTTGCTGTGGTTCTAATGAACGTGTATTGTGTACACTAAGAGCCTGTATTAATATTAAGTACAGTAAATGTTCCTGTTGCTCCAATGGGCACGTATTCTGTACACTATGGGCCTCTATTAAACGTAAGTTAATGTTGCTGTGTCTCTAATGGTCGCGTATTCTGTACACTAAGAGCCTGTATTAAACGTAAGTAAAGTAAATCGACGCCGTGGAATTGTAAGGTCGTAAGTGCCACTTACGACCTTATAGTGATTTTTAGATATTCAATATGCGAACATTAGATCACATCTCCTGACAAAAAATGGTGGTTATATTCCAAATAGTTACCATGGTAACACTAAATATTATTTTGTCGTATCTACAACGCATCGATATGAAAGGTTGTAAGTGGCACATACGACATTATTTGGTACAATGGAGTTAAAATTGAATGGTTGTATGTGGTAGATACGACCTTTAATTAAAACTTCCGTAACTATTTTTAAACATTGTTTGCCGATTTTGTATGCATGTAATAACAGAGTATTGCATTGTTGAACAAATTGCTTTCGATATGAAAATTACATTGATAAAAAATAATACTTCAGAAGTTACAAGTTTATAAGAAATTATTATACAAGTATTAACATATTTCTGCCTCAATATAGAATTGGTACTTTAAATATATTACGTTTTGTTTACATGTGATATTTTTGACAGGAATTGTATTCTCCATAAGAAAGCAAAGCAAATTAATACATTCCTGAATGTACTAGGTCTATATAAATACCCAAAGACGTGTTTAAGAATGTATTTTATTTGGAAATAGCTACTTTTCGCCAAAAGCGCTAAATTGAACAAATATTTAATTGTAATAAGTTTACAGTGTTTAAAAAAATGTAAGTTTATCATATTCTAAGTAAAATTCATAAGGTATTTACAGTCTTAAATGTAACTAAGAACATACTTTTTATTTTTTTTGTGATACCTGCACCCAAGTAAAAAACAAATGTTATTTAAAGATTATACGAGGGTTGATCCAAAAGTAATGTCACAACTTTGATAAAATTGGTATAAATCGACGTAAAGCAACAAAATTAAACATGATAGAAGCTTTATTTATTTCAAATCAGACCTGAAAAATTCAAAGAAATATGTTGTATACTTTCCAAAATATCGGATTTTAAACAAAATGCGTTCTTGGTAGTCGCCGCGCCTAAATACAACGTCATATGACAGATACGCACCGTCATACTTTTAAGCGTTTCCCCTTCGTTTCATTAAAAAAATATTTGCGATTCGCAAACACTTACACCAATTCCACTTTCTTTAAGAATTTTCGGTACCTTTCTACACTCACTCTTTTCATAATTAAGCCCTTTGTCAAAATCTTTTAAACAGTAGCATAAGACAAATTTAAAAAATCACATGTCAATCTATGCGTATGTCTTTTTTGACAGCGTCAGACACCATTTAACGTTTCTGCCCGATCTCCTATCGGTCTTTTTGTCCTCTGTTGATCATTCAGTGACCAATCACCCGCCAAAATTGCTGAATCTATCTATAAAGAAGTCTCTTATTTACATTCTTTATTCAGTAAGTCTAATTAATTAAAGTAATTGTCGCTAGTGATGATTCCCATATTTTAAAGCAAAAATGCGTTACAAATCGTCGAGCCGTTTTTTCCCATTTCGACAATCCCTTTGTTCAATTCAGCAAAGTAAAACAACAATGTTTATGATCACAAATAAGAATGCCGTCATTTAATTTTCACTTAAAGACTAGAAAATGATGAGAACTGTGTCCTTTAAAAAATTGGGAGATAAGTTGCTTTTTCTAATGTGTTTGTCTTTTTCATTCTAAGAAAAAATACAACTTTGAAATGTGACGTTCCGTTGTGACGCGGCGACACCCCCTATGCTCTATGATTTACACATCTATAAAATAAATTCAAATAAACATTATTGAATTAAAATTTCAATATAAATTAGATTTACATTTATGCATCTTTTGATATAATTGTATTTGATAATGCGACCCAAATATAAAGGATATGGACACTGTGACATTACTTTAGGATCAACCCTCGTATTAAGCAACTTTTCAACTAAAACTAAAACAAGAAGTTATAGGGCTCTTTAAAGTGATATACACTAAAGTTGATGTAATTTGTGAGTATATTTCACTTGCGAACGTTTTACACCATATTATTATTTTTTTTATTCAGGTGCGATTAAGTTATACTGAATATATTATGTACATGATACAAATACGAGAATTATTCTAAAACAATCATTAAAATTTACTTTGATACTAAGAAAACCAACTCTTAAATGAATATGAAAGAAACAATAATTTTCAGTTAAAATTGTAATTATGATGATAGTATGACATATTTAAATTATCAGAGAAAAAAATAACAGTGAGAAGAATTCTCTAAAAAATTCGTTTAAAACCTTTGAAATAAAGAAGCAAAAAGTTTAACTAAATTTCAGAGATAGAAAGAGTATAAGAAAAGTCCCTCTCTTTAAATGGGCCAACTTTTCAGGAATATAAGATACAAACAATCAGAAGATGACAGCTAGCTTAAAGACAAAAACCTAATATAAAACAAGCCATAAAAATTCAAAGTAATGAACTATGTTGATCATATTTGCTTTCCAAAATATTTGGTTAAAATTGTTAAACTCTAATGTTGAGAGGGGGGATACAAGAATTTTAAAATGAAGACATCCTTTTAATCACAAAAGGTGATAGATTTTTTTTTATCTAGATGAAAATTAAACTGGTATTTTTGAAAACAAGTTTTTTTCATGAAAATTCACGCTCATTGTTATCATGTGGCAGTAAAATGTTTATGTTAAACCATATTTGAATGATGCAAGCTTATATCACTGGAACTTAAAAAAGAACAAAAAAGAAACTGCACCAATACAGGTGTATCTAATGATACAGAAAAAGGATATGGAGATAACGAACAGTATTCAATATCAAAGTCCATAAAACAATACAAAAATAGGAGCAGAGCAAACACGGACCTCCGAAACATCAGAGGTGGGATCTGGTGCCATGGAGGAGTGAGCATCGCCTGCTGACCGGTCACACCCGCTGTGTGCTCCTTGTCATGATCGGGAAATAACGGGAAAATTCGTCGTCAATTCAATTGATCTGATGCCTTGACATTATAAAGAAAGGAAAATACTCATAAATCTAGTAAAAAAAAAAATTCTTATATCAGCACAAGTAGTTGTCTGCATTGCTTACTTTAGCAAAAGGTATTAACTTTGAATTTCAAAACAAAATAAGGCTATACAACGTTATATTGAGGGTTTCTATGAAATGAAACTGAAAAAAATGGTTGTTGGGAAATTATATCAAGTTGAACATGGAGATAACGAACAATATTTCCATTTCTAATTTTTTTTCTCTGTGATAACTAATTGAAAGTTGGGGGGAGTTTTTTTCTTAATAATACTGCTGGAATGTAAATTAGGCAGGTCGATAGGTCAGCAGCTAAGGAGGCCTAATACGCATGCAAATCTCGTGCGCATCTGTCTCTGTGTCTGACGCTAAGGAGGCCAAATATGCATGTAAATCTCGTGCGGCTGCCTTTGGGTTTGACGTCAGTGTGTGAGGACTATTGAAATTGGCTTGGAAGTCCTCGTGTACTCTAAATCTATTAATCTACATTTTTAAAGTCTAAGTCTACAATTTTATTTCACAATAAACATGATGAAATGGAAATATAAGGAATGTTCTAGTTAGGAGATGCCAGGGACATCAACAATTCTGAAACATGGGATAATTTTAGCATAACGGGCTTTGCCCGTTATGCAAATTATCCCATGTTTCCCACTATTGTTGATGCCCTGGCATACTCTCCTAACTAGACAGTGATTCCTTAATTATCTAAACTCAAAGTCAGTTTAAACTGCACAATTCGGAAGCAGGGCAAACACGAACCCAAACAAATATCAGAGGGGGGATCAGGTACCCGTTGGGGAGTAAGAATCCTATGTTGAATGGTCACATCCGCAATGTGCTCCTTGTCATGATCGGATAAAACGAAAAATCTACAGAAATTTCAATGTGTAAATAAATGAATCTAAATGCAAAATATGGCATGAAGTTATTTGCATACATTATTTAAATTAACTGCGCCTGGCAACAAAGAAATTTGCAATTCTGTAGTGTTTGCCGTATTGTGTAACAAAGTTACAAATTGGCATCATCACTTGTAATTATTTTAAGAGAGGGCATTTGCAAAAGAGAATTCACACAATGTTTCAAAATGTATTATGTGGCACATAAAACCAGAGATAGCACTCTCTTACAACCAAATTCTTAAGATAAACCCGAAGCGGATGAGAGGACAAGTTTTTTTTTTTGCCTGCTGTATCATTGAAATGACATATAAATATTCCACAGTACAGTGATGTAATTGGGACATTTCTATCATATTGATATTTTTCAGTTTGATTATGTTCTTTATCTACTTTCCTTTAATGTTAATACATGCTAAAGTTTGAAAAGAAACGTACATTGTATTTTTACATTTACAATTTCCGATCGTTTTCACTCAAATGGGAATCTTAGAATGTCTTGTATTTTTATATCAAGTGTTTTAGGGTAATTATTTTTTGGTATCTATTTCTAACAAAAAATTCTATTATAAACGAATGATTTAATAAGATGTTGAAACGTCGGAAGTGCCACTTACGACCTAAAACTGGTTGTTTTATTGCGTAATCTTTCAACAATAAGGTCGTAAGTGGCAGTTACGACAATTCATATCTGTATTGCTAAATACTTAAAGGTCGTATCTGCAAAATATTTGCCTGTATTAACTATTTTCATGCATTAATCAAATTAAAGATGTGTTCTCTTGTGTCCTAAAAAGAAAATAAAACAGCCTTTAACTTAAGATCCACAGTCGTGTAATATATTCTTTGAAAAACAGTTTTTATTGCCTCCTGTAAAATACCAAAATTCCACATACGACCTTTCATTTCCACGGCGTCGAAATGTTGTTGTGGCTCCAATGGTCGCGTATTCTGAACACTAAGTGCCTGTATTAAACGTAAGTAAAGTAAATGTTCCTGTGGTTCTAATGGTCGTGTATTGTGTACACTAAGGACCTGTATTAAACATAAGTAAAGTAAATGTTGCTATGGCTCTAATGGTCGCGTATTTTGTATACTAAGGGCCTGTATTAAACGTAAGTTAATGTTGCTGAGGCTCTAATGGTCGTGTATTCTGTACACAAAGGGCCTGTATTAAACGTAAGTAAAGTTAATGTTACAGTTGCTCTAATGGTCGCGTATTCTGTACACTAAGGGCCTGTATTAAAAATAAGTAAAGTAAATGTTGCTGTGGTTCTAATGGTCGCGTAATTTGTACACTAAGGGCCTATATTAAACATGAGTAAAGTAAATGTTGCTGTGGTTCTAATGATCACGTATTCTGTACATTAAGGGCCTGTATTAAACATAAGTAAAGTAAATGTTGCTGTGGCTCGAATGGTAGCGTATTCTGTACACTAAGGCCTGTATAAAACGTAAGTAAAGTAAATGTTGCTGTGACTCTTGTGGAGCGTGTATTCTGTGCACTAAGGGCATGTGTTAATCGTAAGTAAAGTTAATGTTGCTGTGGCTCTAATGGTCGTGTATTTTGTACACTGAGGGCCTGTATTTAACGTAAGTAAAGTAAATGTTGCTGTGGCTCTAATGGTCGTATCTTCTGTACAGTGAGGGCCTGTATTAATCGTAAATAAATGTTGCTGTGGTTCTAATGAACGTGTATTGTGTACACTAAGAGCCTGTATTAAACGTAAGTTAATGTTGCTATGGCTCTAATGGTCGTGTATTCTGTACACAAAGGGCCTGTATTAAACGTAAGTAAAGTTAATGTTACAGTTGCTCTAATGGTCGCGTATTCTGTACACTTAGAGTCTTTATTAAACGTAAGTTAATGTTACTGTGGTTCTAATGAACGTGTATTGTGTACAATAAGAGCCTGTATTAATCATAAGTACAGTAAATGTTCCTGTGGTTCCAATGGGCACGTATTCTGTAAACTATGGGCCTCTATTAAAAGTAAGTTAATGTTGCAGTTGCTCTAATGGTCGCGTATTCTGTACACTAAGAGTCTTTATTGAACGTAAGTTAACGTTACTGTGGTTCTAATGGTCGTGTATTGTGTACACTAAGGACCTGTATTACACATAAGTAAAGTAAATGTTGCTGTGGCTCTAATGGTCGTGTATTCTGTACACAAAAGGCCTGTATTAGACAAAAGTGAAGTAAATGTTGCTGTGGCTCTAAACGTCGTGTATTCTGTACACTAAGGGCCTCTATTAAACATAAGTAAAGTAAATGTTGCTGTGGCTCGAATGGTAGCGTATTCTGTACACTAAGGCCTGTATAAAACGTAAGTAAAGTAAACGTTGCTGTGACTCTTGTGGAGCGTGTATTCTGTGCACTAAGGGCATGTATTAATCGTAAGTAAAGTTAATGTTGCTGAGGCTCTAATGGTCGTGTATTTTGTACACTGAGGGCCTGTATTTAACGTAAGTAAAGTAAATGTTGCTTTGGCTCTAATGGTCGTGTATTTTGTACACTGAGGGCCTGTATTTAACGTAAGTAAAGTAAATGTTGCTTTGGCTCTAATGGTCGTATATTCTGTACAGTGAGGGCCTGTATTAATCGTAAGTAAATGTTGCTGTGGTTCTAATGAACGTGTATTGTGTACACTAAGAGCCTGTATTAATCGTAAGTACAGTAAATGTTCAGTTAATGTTGCTATGGCTCTAGTGGTCGTGTATTCTGTACACAAAGGGCCTGTATTAAACGTAAGTAAAGTTAATGTTACAGTTGCTCTAATGGTCGCGTATTCTGTACACTTAGAGTCTTTATTAAACGTAAGTTAATGTTACTGTGGTTCTAATGAACGTGTATTGTGTACACTAAGAGCCTGTATTAATCGTAAGTACAGTAAATGTTCCTGTGGTTCCAGTGGGCACGTATTCTGTACACTATGGGCCTCTATTAAACGTAAGTTAATGTTGCAGTTGCTCTAATGGTCGCGTATTCTGTACACTAAGAGTCTTTATTGAACGTAAGTTAACGTTACTGTGGTTCTAATGGTCGTGTATTGTGTGCACTAAGGACCTGTATTACACATAAGTAAAGTAAATGTTGCTGTGGCTCTAATGGTCGTGTATTCTGTACACAAAAGGCCTGTATTAAACAAAACTGAAGTAAATGTTGCTGTGGCTCTAATGGTCGCGTATTTTGTACACTATGGGCGTGTATTAAACATAAGTAAAGTTAATGTTGCTGTGGTTCTAATGGTCGCGTATTCTGTACGTTATGGGCCTGTATTTAACGTAAGTAACGTAAATGTTGCTGTGGCTCTAATGGTCGTGTACTGTGTACACTAAGGGCCTGTATTAAACGTAAGTTAATGTTGCTGTGGTTCTAATGGTCGCGTATTCTGTACACTAAGGGCCTGTATTAAACATAAGTAAAGTAAATGTTGCAGTGGATCTAAAGGTCGTGTATTCTGTACACTAAGGGCCTCTATTAAACATAAGTAAAGTAAATGTTGCTGTGGCTCTAATGGTCGCGTATTCTGTACACTAAGGGCCTGTATAAAACGTAAGTAAAGTAAATGTTGCTGTGGCTCTAATGGTCGCGTATTCTGTACACTAAGGGCCTGTATTAAACATAAGTAAAGTAAATGTTGCAGTGGATCTAAAGGTCGTGTATTCTGTACACTAAGGGCCTCTATTAAACATAAGTAAAGTAAATGTTGCTGTGGCTCGAATGGTCGCGTATTCTGTACACTAAGGGCCTATATAAAACGTAAGTTAAGTAAATGTTGCTGTGGCTCTAATGGTCGCGTATTCTGTACACTAAGAGCCTGTATAAAACGTAAGTAAAGTAAATGTTGCTCTGACTCTTATGGAGCGTGTATTCTGTACACTAAGAGCCTGTATTAATCGTAAATAAAGTAAATTTTGCTGTGGCTCTAACGTATTCTGTACACTAAGGGCCTGTATAAAACGTAATGGAGCGTGTATTCTGTACACTAAGGGCCTGTATTATTCGTTAGTACATTTAATGTTGCTTTGACTCTAATGGACGCGTTTTCTGTACACTAAGGGCCTGTATTAATCGTAAGTAAAGTAAATGTTGCTGTGGCTCTAATGAAAATATATTTTGTATACTAAGAGCCTGTATTAATCGTCAGTAAAGTAAACGTTGCTGTGGCTCTAATGAACGTGTATTTTGTACTCTAAGGGCCTGTACGTATTAAACGTAAGTAAAAGAAAATTAAAACTGATAATGAAATTTAATGTAGAAGTTTAGAACAAGAGCTGCATGTTCTTCATATCATAAATGTTAGGAAATATACATATTGATGATGTAAATATAAATTCAAATAAAGCAATTGGCATGTAAGGAACATAAAAGACATTAACTGTTTCTGATGTATATGTCCGATGCTTGTTAAAAGAAGAACACGCACCTTTTTGAAACGTGTTTTGCATTAATATTACTCATTTAAACTTCTAATGATAAGATAATTTAGAATGATAGCAAACAGTGATTGATCTTATTGAAGCTTTGAAATAATAAAACTCGGTGCACTGAGAAAAATACGGATCCCTGGATATTCCAGAGGTGTAATAAAAGAGGACAACAAGACCTATGTTGACTGGTCTCACACATCCCCCAATTTTATAATTCTTTTTTCAGCTAGCTAGTTCCAGAGGTAGGATCAAATGCCTAAAAGTAGTAAATATCCTCTGTTGATTGGTTTCACCCATCATTTGCCCAAATTTTGATATCTTTTTCAGCTACATCCAGAGGTGTCTGTTCCCAACCAAAGGTTGTGGGTCCTTGTAGGGGAGCATTCCGACGTTGGTGGTACAATAAATCGACCAAACGATGTGAACTTTTTTCTTACGGCGGATGTAGAGGAAACCAAAACAACTTCAGGACAAAGTTCGCCTGTCTCAGACGTTGTAGAAGGAGATATTGTGAGTCACATTTCCTTGACTTGATATGAGTCTGCACATGTCAGTTTTTTAGCTAGCCATAACATAAAGAATTTTAGGGAGCTGATGTGTCTCAGGTTAAGGTTTTTGGAGCAGTTTCTTTGTAAGAACTTCATTGCCCTATATTCATCAGATATGCATGTAAGATGCTTCTAATGTGTTTCTTTGTACCATATAAGGTTCAGATGCTGGATCTAACTTACATATTCAGTATGAGTAAACAGGTTTTTAGTGCAAAAACTGTGAGCCTTATTATGACCAAACTTTCATAGATGATAAGGATGCATACTACCAGGCTTGTTTCAGATGCCTGATCTGACCTACATTTTCTGGATGTGTGAAAAGGCTAGATTTTTATGCAGGTTTAATTTCCAAGTAACTATGAGCCCTATGTTGAGTTTACTTGCATGAACGATACATCTAAGGACGCACACTAATGGGGACTTGCTTCAGGTGTTGAACTGACATACAATTTCCAGATAATGGACAAGGCAAAAGTTATGGCCGGGTGCAGATATATCCCCAAGAAATTATAATACATACCGTATAACGGGTATTTTTTACGTGCTGCTATAATTTTTACTAATTTTTACGAATTTTATAAATCCGTAAAATTTAAACGCGTAAAATTTCACAGAAGTAAAAAGCGCCTCGCCTGAAGTTTGAACATCGTATCATGAGAGTATTTATTTTTAGCTAAGTACCCGGAGGCTAAAGAATTAGTACTGACAAGCGTTGGTATTTTTAGGAACATTTTAATTGAATATCAATTAGGATCAAATCTTAATTAATGCACAAATTATACAAACATCGTCAATTACCTGATTCCTCTTACGGGACGCATAATTTATGATAATGGCTTATAATTATTGCAGACTGAAGTCTTCAATATTTTATCCGTTTTTTAAGACTTTGACCCTTTCTTCTTTTTTATTTGCTTCGCCTTCCAGTAAAAACTTCGACATTTTAATACACTGTAATCCATGTTCCCTGTAATTCTGTCAACTTAATCATGATTATTTGAGTTGTCTCTCTTTGTTTCCATTAAATCACCCTATTTCAACCGAAATTCGTAAAAATTTACAGCAGTTAAAATTACCCGTTATACGGTCGAAGCCAAAGTTACATAGATGATTCATCAAGGGATGAATACTCTCAAACTTGCTTCAGATGCTGGATTTGAATTGCATTTTTTGATGGGCGACTAGTTTGAAGGTTCGTGATAAGTCTATTTCCATGTAATTGCAAGCCCTATCAGATTAAGAATTGCATACATTTTGCATACTGGGATGTACATTCTAGAATTTTAGTTAATTGTGAGACTTAGCCTTACTTTAAGACTACTTTCCTTCAGCTGAGCTCCATGTTTCATGCTTGCTTCGCCCATTGAGGGTAAACGGTTGTCAATTCGATTTTAAAAGGAATAGTCATTGAGCACTTATTGATGTTTGCCAGTATTAACTGTAAGAGAGAACCCCTGATAATAAGGTCTTGATCTCGAGCCATAAAGATACATTCCTTTGTTTTCGACTTAATTACACTCCTACGATCGGACTCTGCAGGCATCTAAATTATTCCAGAAAAAATAGTTCTGATTTACAAATGCCATTGAATTAATAAATGTAAAAATAGGAAATATATCGAGTCTGAATATCTCAAAGCACTGGAAAGGTAGGACAGAGGCCCTGGGGTTGAATCCCGGTAAATACCTGATTTTTTTTTTACAATCTATAACTTTTTGCGGAATGAAGACATGAAAAAGAAGAAGTTTGAGAAGATATTAATATAAAAAATCTCTACAGACACATCACGTGGGCTTCAATACGATAGGAACAATTAAATTAAGTAAAAGCACACACACAAAATTAACATTTTTTTATGAAATGAATCAACAAAATTGTTACCAAATAGGTTAATTTGCTTGCGATGTTTTTAAAAGAGCATACAGAAAATATAGAATTTATTAAAAAAAAGTCCTTGAAAGTCAAGATCTAGTATATGAAAGGTGCCTAATTTTTTTTTCAACTTTGAAAAACGACTTGACCTTAAAAGACTTTGTAGCTATTAGCATTTGTGTGATGTGCGTTAACTTGTTAAATATGGGCCCTATCTTAAGAACTTCTCGGCAAAATGTGGTCAAATTTGGCACAGGGTATCTTCGAACCAGGAGATGTATTTAATACTTAAAATAGTGATGTGCTCCTGAATAAAAGGGAGATAAAAAGAAGAAATAAAAATATGATGACTTAAAATCTTCACAAACAACCACTGGACAGATGAATGCCATACTTAGACTCGAAGATAAGGATATGTTGTAGATTACATGTAACTCGTCAAAGGATCTCCCTGGGGCAAAGGGCATGCTCGAATTTCGAATATGACCATTTTTTTTTTCAAAATCGTGAGATTTTTTCCACTATTAGAACTAGGATCATCTCGTTAGACTTATTATCATGTTGACCAAAAATAGGTCAAAAGTAGGACACATGAATCCACTTTTTGTAATTTTCAGAAATTCATTCTAAATTTAATTTTAATGCATACCTTGGAAACATTCAAATCTCTGATCATCAAACCGTGTCAGTTTATGCAGCATCTGACCGTAGAGTATGCCAAGCAAAAGTAAGGCACTAAAACCTAGTTTTTTTATGGCTTATAAGTATGCAATCATTCAAGATCATATTTCGAACCATTATGCAGCCATTAAATCTCTATGACCTTAAAGGGTAAGTGGTAAGACCTTCACATGGTACACAAGAAATTTTGGATTCTGCCCCTCAAGGCAAATTACTTAATATGTTGTTAAATTCAGTATTCCTGATATTGAAGAAAAACGATAGACTTTTCAGAGAGTCATGTTATATTACCTTGATTAAAATAAGAGATACTTGAGTTGCAATGTATTACAGATCTTATTCTTTTTTGGAATCTTTCTTTCCTGGATTATCTGTGAAAGAATTAAATAATACCAAGATTTTAAAATTATTTTGTGTTGTGCCCTATCATTTAAAAAGTGGCATGCTACTAAAAATAAACAAATATTACAGGGATTCAGTTCATCATTTCGTAAGTTCTATGGTTGATACAATAACCTTGTCAGCAAATACATTTTATCATTGAGGCAAATGCTAACTGACGTTTTTCATACCAATTGTTAGTTCTTTATTTATACACTGAATTGACGACGGATTTTTTCCGTTATTTCCTGATCATGACAAGGAGCACATGGCGGGTGTGACCGGTCGGCAGGGGATGCTTACTCCTCCATGGCACCTGATCCGTGTTTGCTCTGCTCTAATTTTGTATTGTTTATTTGGATTTTGATATTGATCACTGTTCGTTATCTCCATATCCTTCTTCGTTAGAAGTGAGTATTTCGTAATCTGTATTGTTGTATTTATGCTATGGTAAGAAGTATAACTTAACACATTTGTTGTATTTGACTGAAGTGTTTCCTAAAAATTGTCATTCTTTTTTGTTAATTCTAATTGTTTGTTATTTTTACATTTTTAGAATCTGTGAAGATGTGACAAGAGTGAAGCTTTCTGACCGAGCGATATGTTCTTTTAATCTATTATTATAAATTAAAATAATGGATTCAAAACATGATTTATTTTCAGTTTTCTGTAGGAAAATGTTTTTCCTGACCTATATCTAGTGTTTTGACATAGATTTCTTATAATATGAAACAATAAAGACAATTTTTAAACCATCTTAAATGTTTCAATCATATTTTATGTAAGAGTAAAATGATCAATTTAATGATGCAGTTGTCTTGTATACAAAATTACATTGTAGACAAAAGTTACATTTATAATTAACTGATCAAATAATTTGATATGTATATTAATTTAAAAAAAACGGCCTTTGAAACACACAAGAAAGGATCGTATATATTTTCAAAGAAAATTAATCCTATTCTTTGATTTAACAGTATTATAATAAAAGCAGCAGGATTAAGAATTTTAAAGAGACATAACACTCCTAATGTTCACATGGCTATACATATATAAGCAATTCCTCTATGAAATGACACACGACATTATTGCTTACATATAAATATTTTGTCTGCAAAATTGATTTCCACCAAATCGGTATTAGTAACCATGTAAAGTGACCCATTTGCGCGCGAACTAAAGTTACAACGTAATATATGCACTTTTGAAAGATGAAAAAAGGTCTGACGTTAGCGAATATGGACAAAAAGATTCCAAAAAGGTACTGCAGATTTTAAATTGTTCAAATCATGACCCCCAGAGGCTGGGTTGGGGCCACAACAGGGAATCGAAATTTAAAATTGAATTATTTAGAAGAAACCTTTTAAAATTTCTTATCATGAACCATAGTAGGTATGACACGGGGGATCTTGTAAAGGAAAGCCTGACCAGAGTTACCCAGGTGAGCGTTTAAGCTCATAGGCTTCTTGTTGATTAAGGTTATTACTGGTATTTACTTTGATGGCAAGTTGAAGTTTTAGGAAAAAGCGGATAGCTTGAGATGTGTTTTCTACCGTACGTGACAATGTAAAAAAGCTGTGTTTTGCAATTTCTTTGAATATTCATAATTACAGATAAAAGTCTGTACTCTAGTGTCTCTTTTAACTTTTTGAATAGATTCCTCAAAGTATTTTTCATGGGATTTTCAAGAGAATCAGAAAAAAATATGAAATTAAAATAGAAAAGAAAAATAAGTCAACAATTGCTGGCGGTTAATAGTTTGATTATTTTTTTTAACTTCCTATGAATTGCATATGGCGAAAAAAAATGCATGTAAGATGTTGACATAGAGTTACAAAAAGTAATTTTTTTTTTGTTTATTTAATATGAAGTCAAAAGCAGAAAGTTTAAGAATCTAGAAGTACTTTGATCACTGTGGTTACTGAATAATTACACCGCTTACCAAATGTTAATAATAGCAAAATCCATTTTGTGGTCTGGGAGACCCAAAATAATTGACATTTCAAAAAAAGGAGTTGCGGATACCTTAAAGTCTTACAAATGAATGGACGAACAGACAGACTGACGGATATCTCGATCATTATGCAGTTTCACACACTTTTTAAGCTCATACGTTTTCCTGCACAAATTAAGCTCCATTCTTCTTGTAATAATACTTAACATTATCGAACTGGTTTGTTCCCGTTCTGCACGCATTTGAATTTTAGGCATAGCAAAAATGTGTGCAAAATGAGAATTTGACCAGGTGAGATTAATACTTAATTGGTTTATTCTATACCAAAGGTGGTAGACAGGGGAAAGGTGAACCTATATATGAGAGAATAGGACAATGAAAATAGAGATTAAACCAACAAAAATTATGTTCATTACGAGTCTTCATTTATTTCTTTACTCTTATAACAAAATAGTTTATACTACTATAAGTAAATAATCAATCATGAACAGTATCGGTAATCAGTGTCAATTTCATAATATATCAGCCTTAAAAATTATTTGTTTACCAGAAACGGCAGTAATTGTTTTAATATAGTCATTAATTAAGTAAAATTTTGAAATTCACCTTCTCCAATGAATATTCATATACATTAAATGAAACTTTATTCTTCCTGTTCATGATAAATAGGTAAAATACAGGTAAACCCAGGTAAATCCTAACCAGAAATCAGACTATAACTGTCATCAAAACACATTTCAAACATATGATTCTATACCTCATTATCAAATGTGTGCAAAACGGGAACACATCATCGGACTTTAATCGGAGGCACAACTCTAATATGTATTAAATATCTTATGTCTAACCTTCTTTAGATACATTCCAAATTTGTTAATTTATCAATTTGCTTAATTTGTTGTTTTTATTTGTTAAAAGCGACTTTGTCAATAAATAGTATGATGTTATATCTGAGCGATTCCACCATATTTAGTTACAAGTTTGATTAATCAATATTTCTTTGATACTATTAAGTTAAAATTTTCAAATAAAGAACTTAAAGAGGAGTTTTTTTTAAGTACTTTGCATTTACAGTTATCATAATCATCTTGACTTTGTTGAAATATAGCACCGAAAACTGGCAAAGCTGCAAAAAGAAATGTCAAAACATAGGATGATACAATATTGTTTATTCTGTAAATAGTAAATTGTAAAATTTGAAAAAAAAATTCATTCATATTTACGGTTTGAAATTTTATTGTGCTTTTTTTAGGTTCTTAATATCCAGAAAATTGTTTAGCTTAGCATGTTCATCTTTGTAACAGAGATTCATACATTGATTCTATGTAAAGACTTAGTAAAAAACGGGTTTCTTCATTGGATGATTATCACCATACATGACTCTATGTAAATGGTTAATAAAAAAAAAATGGCTTTCTTCATTGGATGATTATCTCTACATTCGTATAAGGAAGTATAGAGTGGTAAACCTATTTAACACAAAGAATGTCAATTTATTATGCGTACCCGAATACACCAGTGGGTATCATTTATAGTAAACACCCTGAATAGATAGAAACTTTTAGAAAAAAATAAGGCTAAAATATTACTTTATATCTTCCTTGTAGGGCTTTTTTTTTTTTACATAATTATATAATAAATATTTAACCTGTACAGATATTTAAAAGGGTTGGTTATAATGACGAGGTTTGCCATTACAACAAAAGGTTTCCTTCCTATCGATTGTGTCATTTCCAGTCAATTGTCACGAATGTTCAAGAGATTGGTTGCTTATATTCTCAACTAAATATTGATGTTAAATTGCAAGCTCAAGTGACATTTTTTTTAATTGTGTGAATAATTGTAAAAGATCAGACTGAATTGGTAAAGTTTAAATTATGACTGAAACCAAGAAAACCTAGAGTTACTTTAAGCACTGAATTTAGTAATTGATACCCTAACCCCCGCCTCCAATATTATTATATTGGCAAAATCTATGTAGTGGTCTGGGAGACCCGAAATAAATGTCAGATCAAATTGTAAAATAGGAGATGTAAAATTGCATTATTAGTAGTCCAATTTTGAATTCATATTAAATATGAAGCGGAATTTGTCCAAAATCTTATACAGGCAAAGAAAAAAACCTGTGGTTTTCAATTCTTTATGTTGATATATCGACGACGTGTTGTCAACAATGGTAATTTCCATTCCTGTGTTATTACAATGTATCCTGGTGAGATAGGGGTAAAAGATATCACAGAGTGTGAAACATCTGCTTCGTATATGGATATTTTACCTGAAAATGACGGAAATGGTAATCTAACAACCAAGCTCTATGATAAAGGAGATGAATTTAACTTTTCTATAGTCAACTTTCCTTACTTATGCAGCAATATAGTTTTATCTCTTCTTTCGTTACTCCCAACTAAGATATTAACAGTAATGAAGGAAAAACTTCAAGAATACTGTGCAACAATATATTCAAGAAGTGGTGTGAATCAGATGTGAATACTTAAAAATTCCAAAGAACTTTTGCACAAGTTGAATTCACAAGATTTTACCAAAATCAACAGCTTAAAAACTTACGAATTTTCAACTTTATACACAACCATTACCCACGATATATTAAAGTGCAGGTTTTTTGATATCATCGACAGCTGCTCTTTCAATAAAAATGGAACTCATAAATTTACTTACTTACCCGGTCATTGGTCATTTGCAAAATTATTTTGTTAAAACGCATTCTAATTGCACACACAAGTACTCTGAAGTTGACATCAAAGAGATGCTTGAGTTTCTGATTGACCTATGTGGTTTATGGAGACCAGCAATCTATTGGAATTTCCACAAGTACCAATTGCACTCTATTATTAGCAGACCTATTTTTATATTCATATGAAGCAGAATTTATACAAAATATTATGCGCGAAAAGAAAACACTTGCTGTGGCCTTCAACTAGACATTTAGATATATCGACGACGTATTGTCAATTAACAATGGTCATTTCCATTCTAACGTCGATACGAGATATCCTGGTGAGATTGAGATAAAAGGTAGCACAGAGTAGAATACATCTTTTTCATACTTGAATATTTTACTAGAAAAAGACATTAATGGTAATATAACAACCAAGCTATATGATAAACATGATGACTTTTAAATTTTCTATCATCAACTTCCCTTACTTATGCAGCAATATACCTTTATCACCTGCATACGGAGTATATATATCTCAGGTAAATTATTGACAAGCAAGTAGATGAAACAAGAATTCAGCAGTCTCGTTTAAAGTAATCATTTCGTAAGTTCTATGGTCGATAAAATGAGCTTGTCAGCAAATACAATTTATCATTGAGTCAAATGCTGACTGACATTTTCATACGAATTGTTAGTCCATTATTTATACACTGAATTGATGAAGGATTTTTCTTTGATTTCCCGCTCATGACAAGGAACACACGGCGGGTGTGATGTGACCGGTCATCTGGGGATGCTGACTCCTCCATGGCACCTGGTCCCACCTCTGATGTTTCGGAGGTCCGTGTTTGCTCTGCTCCTGTTTTGTATCGATTCATGGTGTTGAATACTGTTCGTTGTCTTTATGTCCATCTTATGCGGGGTTTATATCTCTAAATTGATTAGAAACGCAAGAGCATGTTATACACATGAACATGTTATACACATGAACAATTTGTAAATTATTGACAAACAAGTTGATGAAACAAGGATATAACAGTATCATTTAAAATCATCAT